TTTTTTCAATCTTCTGAAAGTTCATGGTATAGTCACTATTCTTCACCAGCACCATAATGCACAGGCATCAGGTCATCTGTCTTCCTTATTCATTGTCCACCTTTCACATGCACATGAGGTCATTTTAAATACTGCTGCTTGGATCAGGCACATCTTTATCCTTGTGATATCTTTGCTTTGTAACACTTTTAAGAGGTCTTTTGCAGCCAATTTACCTAATGAATAATCAACACCCAAGCAAGCAGCAGTCAAGAAATGAAGCAACGCATTACATTGGGCAAATATGATGCAAGAGGCCTCTTAAAAGTGTTAAGAAGCAAAGTTGTCATCCTGAGGACCCAGGTGTGTCTGACCCAAGCCGTGGCATTTACAATTGCCTTACATACATGGGGTCAGTGAATAAGGAAGATGAAAGAAGAATTGATGCCTTTGAATTATGTTAATGAAGAATATTGAATATACCAGGGGCTGTCAGAAGAATGAACAAATTATGTCTTGAAGGAAATACAGCCAATACTCCTTAGAAAGACTGGCTGTGTTTCTTTCTGTTGTATACAGGGTCTCTATGAGTTGGAACTGACAATAGCATTGAACAACAAAAATCACTTACAAAGTTTCCTATTTTTATTTCTCTGATTTTATCACTTTTTATAAAGCATCATTTAGTAAGCTCTCAGTTTGAATAATGTTGTTAAACCTTTTGTTGACAGTATCACTGGATAACCAAGACACTCAGCCAGCAGAGCCTGCCTAGGGGCTGCTTCCTGTAGTGCGCGCCCATGAAATTACAGGCAGGTCAGTTCCTAGCCCCTTTGTGTGTCCACAGCCTGTTTGCCTTGCCTCCTGTGTGTGTCTCTAGAGAAAAGCACAGATCTGGTAGCCAGGCATGACTCATGTGACCCACAGCTGGTCATACACTTCTAAACCACCACGTCTGTTTTGATGAGCTGTCTTTGGCTGTGGGACCTTGAGCAAGGTATTATCCTGAGAGTCTCCTCCTCTGACTTCTTCAGTCCTGAATTTCC